CTCCATCTCCGACCTCAAGCTCTAATACAGAGCAATAGTAATAAAAACCGCAGTGTATTGGCATAGAACAGAAAGGAGGATCAAAGGAACCGATTAGAAGACCCAGAAATAAACCCACACACCTATGAATACTTGATTTTTGACAAAGAAGCCAAAACTATTCAATGGAAAAAAGACAGCATCTTCAACAAATGGTGCTGGTCCATTTTTCTACATTCAGAAAAATGAAAATAGATCTATATTTATCACCCTGTACAAAACTAAAGTCCAAGTGGATCAAAGACCTCAATATACACTTCATAATTTTTAAGGGAAGATGAACAAATAGCTATTGAGAATTTACTCCATTCTAAAAGCTACTCTAAGATAGAAGAGTGGCCAAAAAGACAACTTCCTGCTCATCCAGCACAGAGGAAGGCATAGAAACAGACAAGTGAGACTTGAATATATGTGTGCTTTGGGGAAAATACAAGAAGAGGAACAAGAATATCAGCAAAGAAGAGATGGTACCATGTAAATCAGGGTGACACAGGCAAACTTAGTGCACAGAAGAGGTCCTAAGGAACTGCAAGTAAATCCCAGCTGACATTCCAGAGAGCAGCAGAGTAACTACTGCAAAGGCCTGAGGTACAAGGAAGGTTAGTGCATGTAAGGGATCAACAAGCCAGCAGAAGAGATGAGCAAGGCAATGAAGGAAAACCTTTAGTGGCACTGTGTGTGTGTGTGTGTGTGTGTAGTCTTATGTGGGGGCTTTATATGAGCAATCCTTGTGGCAGGGGTAAGAGCTTGCTATTGTAAGTAAAATTGCATTAGAATGCAACCATACCACACCTTGTTCATTAGGTGTTGTGAGCCATTGATCACACACACACACACACACACACACAATTTGTGGTTACATCATGTAATATATCAGGTAAAATGTGTAAAATATGACCATGCATCACTGACAGCTTGCTGACACACAGGCCATTGTAAAAGTTTTAAGAATTATTTGTTTCCTTTTGTAAATTAACGAGAAGCTGAGTGCTAGGACCTTTTTGTTTGTTTGTTTGTTGTTATTTCATTTCACGTGAGGTCACCATGATGTGTGTTTTAAAGTTATTATTTACATAATCAGAGATCTCTGTAGATTTTAAGCTGAAGCATTTTTCAAAAAGATTATCTGCTTTGTAGAGAATATATTGCAGAATTAGCATCGAGGCAATAATCAACTGAACAATACTTACATTAAGAAATCCATGAAAGCACCAGATTGATTTCCAAAGTGGTTGTACAAGTTACATTCCCACCAGCAATCACAATAGTGTTGCCTCAAGATCCAACTATACCATTCCTGGGCATATATCCAAAAGATGCTAAACCATACAACAAGGACATTTGCTCAACTATAGCAGCTTTATTCATAATAGCCAGAATCTAGATGTCCTTCAGCTGAAGAATGAATACAGAAATTGTAGTACATTTACACAATGGAATATACTCAGCAATTAAAAACAAGGAAATCATGTAATTCGCAGGCAAATGGTGGGAACTAAGAAAGATCATCCTGAGTGGGTTTACTCAGAAGCAGAAAGACACACACGGTATATACTCACTTATAAGTGGATATTAAACATACAATATAGGACAAACATACTAAAATCTATAGTCCTAAAGAAGCTAAAAAACAGGGAGGATCCTAGGGAAGAGGCTGAAACCTCACTCAGAAGGGCAAACAAGGATGGATATCAGAAGTAGGAGAAGACAACGAACAGGACAGGAGTCTTCCATAGGGGGCTTCTGGAAGATTCTACCCATCAGGGATTGAAGGAGATACTGAGACTTATAGCCAAACTTTGGGCAGAATGCAGGAAACCTTATGGAGAAGAGGAAGATAGAAAGACATTGAAGGAACAAGAACTCCACAAGGAGACCAACAGAGCCAAAAATTCTAGGTTCAGGGAGCACTGCAGAGACTGATACTCCAACCAAGGACCATGCATGGAGAGGACCTAGACCCCCTGCCCAGAGGAAGCCCATAGGCTGCTCAGTCTCCAAGAGGGTTCCCTTGTAAAGGGGGCAGAGGCTGTCTCTGACATGAACTCAGTGGCTGGCTCTTTGATCACCTCCCTAGAGAGATGCAGCCTTGCCAGGCCACAGAGGAAGATGATGCAGCCAGTCCTGATGACACCTGATAGGCTAGGGTCAGATAGAAGGGGAGGAGTCCTAGTCCCTATCAGTGGACCAGGGAAAGAGCAAATGGGGAAAAGTGATAAGGTGGATGGGGCTAGGAGGAGAAGAGGGAAAAAGCTGGAGATGGATACAAAGTGAATAAATTATAATTAATTAATTAATTAATTAATTATTATTAAAAAAATTTTGAAGCTTCAATTGACAAGAAATTTAGAAAATAAAAAGGACAAGCAATGGAAATTTCCATTTACTTATCTAGGAAGGTAAGATAAACAAAAATCAAGCTGTATTTATGACTTGGTCAATGCTAGCCATAAATATACAATTTGCAAGTAAAATATTAAAAAGAAGAAAATAAAGATGATTGAGAAAAGAAATTATTGGAAAGTTATAGAAAGTAAGTAGCTTGTAGAGAATGGATGAGAATATTCAGGAGGAATATCTTTTAAGAAGAAACAGGAGTTCAATGTGTAGCCGAAAAGCCGAGTTTGCAGAACGGAGGACAAGGGCTCAGAACCTGATACAATTTGGGCTTCCCAGAATGGCCTGGGAGCATCCACTTGGGGCTGCAGATCTGGGAAACATAACTGGAAGCTAGGAGAGTTAAAAGCTCACAGAAACCCATTTTACAATACTGTGAGTCTACACTGGGTAATGAGAAGAGTGGAGTTTGTTTAAGAATAATGACAACAAGGCAGGATAAATGGACACCATATCCATAGAAAAAAGTCTCAAATGGGAATGCTTGTTAACCATATTAGTCTTTGTTCCATGTAAGCATGGGTCACTCACAGTCAAAGTTAGAAGTGACTTTTTTCATTTACTCTGATTGGGAGAATCATTAAAACCAAATGTAACAATGTCACACATTTAGGCAAAATTTCATAGATCTTCACATATATATCAAAATGTCCAGAGTTAATAAATCACAAATAAACCATTGTGCATTGTCTCACAGATTTAATAGATGAAGGAAATTTATCAGTAATGAAATTGTCAACAGCATACTTGTGGATGACATCTACAGAGCAAAATAGAAAATGATCTCAATTGAAAGATGCCTTAGAATATTCTAAAGTTGGACTTCCTTTGTTAAGAATCCCACTTCCTTGAGCTATTTCCATTTGAGCAATACAAAAATTTGCATTGCATATATCTGATTATTTTAAAAACACATTTCTATTTTCAGCTAATGAAACTGCCTAGAATTGAAAAGCTGTAATATATACCGTGTGGACCCAGAAGGCAAGAAGCTCTGGAGTATTTGCTGGAGCATTACCTGGGACACTCAGCTTCTGACCTCCAGTGAATTCATCGGGATTTGGAGAAGACACTAATACTGAGCTTCAGCAACAACAGGCGATGCTGGGATAATTTTGTTTATTGGATTTTTCTCTTAAATAGATGGGCCCTGTTCTTGAAAATATATGATTCACACAACTTTGAGGGAGGAGAATGACTGCACGTCTATTGCCTCAGTTCTAATATGTTCTTACTCCATGAGAACAGTAATGGGAAATAAACACTGACCACATTTCAAACACTTGTTTTACAAATGTAAGCACAGAATCAGCAGGAGAGCCTAAACTTTGAATGTGGGTAGTCCTCCACAAGTGCTGCCCTTGCAGAAGCATGCACCACCAAAAAGTCCTCTGCAATTTACAGAGCCGTGCTTTTTGACTGCATACCCAGCTAACATAGCCCTTTCCTACTTACAGAGAGCCTCAGCGGAGAGTTTTCCCTTCTCGCCACGGGAGTCAACACAAGTGTCAAGATTCTCAGTGGGAACCTGTTCTGAAATTTATGAAAGTGTAATAATTCTAATTGTAAACTCAACCAAATGCATTTCTAACACAAATAGCAGCATACTCGTGGAAAGAATAAAGCCATCTGTATAGAAATACGAACACACTACAGCTTTAAAGGAACTTGATACCTAAAACTATTTTAACAAAGTGGTAAATGACAAAAGTATTTCTAATGGTTTTATTTTTAAAATGAAAAAAAAAATCGACATTTCATATTTAGCTCTTGGATGCAAGGAAAAAGTGGGCAAATGTGCAGCTATGGATTCCTCCCTCCCTTGGAATTCTCTTCTAAATATAATGGGACATTTTTCCACTGGGAGCCCTGATTTATGATGAGAAATATCAAATCCAGAGGGATTTTTCCTTTATGTGAGTCTAAACGTGTCCCTGTTTATCATTCAGATAAAAGGTTATCATTGTCACATACTATTCCCATTTGCTGGATGGTATTGGCAGATGTGAAAATGACTGACATCCCCTCAGTATATCTTGTACGTAGTAATAACTCTCCTGGCATTTCTTCCACTGTATCACTTTCGGCAAAAACCTACCTTTTTATGTTTGACTTTCTTCTTTTAACACACTTGTATTTTTATTTATGTGTATCTATGTGCAGTGCATGTTGGTACAGGGAAGGCAAGGGTGTCAGACACCCAGGAGATTGAGCGGCAGGCAGATGTGACTCACTCAATGACGGTGCTCTGAACTGAATTCTTCTGTCCTTGTTTATCTTCTTGTATCATTGTTTCCAATCTAAGACCCTATGACCAGACACTTTTCAAGGGGCAGGGGATCTCTCAAAATCATGTCTATCTCCAAGTAGGGAAAAGACTAAAATGTAATCCAAACAGAATGCTTATGACCCTAAGCTCTGCTCAGACAGTTTGAATTTTTATTTACCATTCAAAAGTGGTATAATCTAAGGACTACTCTCCTTAATCGCCATTGCCAACAAGCTGTGCAGATACTTATCAATATTGTCTGATGTCTGAATAATATTTTTAAAATATGTATTTACCTGCCCCAGAGGCATTGCAAGTATGGCTGCGGTATCACGTGAGTCAGTGGGTGTCAGAGAGGAGAGAGGTTATAGCTACACTCAGTATTCTGACCTCTGAACATCTGAATGATTAGTAGGCTAATATTCCCTGAAAACAAAACAAAACCAGAGTCTGATACACCCACCAGTCTGGTGCTAGAGGGTCCGGACATGGATCTAGCCTGAGATGACCACCAGTCTGGTTGCCAGGCAGGGCTTGGATAGGTTCCCGGGGCTGGGAGCAAGCTGGCGACTAGGAAAACCCTGCCTGGGACTGGAACCCCAGGAGAGGTGAGCCCGACTCAAGTGACCCTCATAAAGGGCCTCTCAGTCAAGCAGGGTGAGGATCATCAAGCCTGAGACAAAAAACATGCCATAGCCAGGTGGACTGGACAAGGAGCTAACCTGAAAACCACCAATGAGGAGCCACACAGGCCTGGTGGGTGCAGACCGTGCCAGAAATGACCCCTGCCTAGTGCCATAATGCATGAGCAGGGCACAGTATTCCTGAGAAGGGCCCAGATATTCAGAGACCGTAGGCACCACCAAGAGGAGCAAGCAAATGGTTGGGAAATGGAAGAGAAGGAAAAACAGAAAAATGTGGACACAATGAGGGGAGGCAGAACTGGAGGGTTGAAGGTAGGGAGGAACAGCCTGATGTGAATAGCCAGTGATATGACAATGATAAGATCCTGGACAGTGATACCACTGGGGGCTACTTCTGGGTCTGTGGCCCTGCAGCAGCAGAGTTCTGTCATCACCAAAGGCTAGGTGGATGTCCCTGGTCTGAGCTGCCACCTGGGGACATGTTGATGTCTGAGGGTTGTGCAAAACTCTTCCCATACCTTGCCTGGATTACGTGGGAGAGCTGGACCTGGGAACATGAGAGCAGGAGAGCTGACCTCACCCCTACTCAGCTGCAGTAGTTGGGAGAGTGGGCCCTGTACCTTGCCTTCATTGCATAGTAAAGCTGACACTGGGAGCAGGGGTGAGGGTGAGCCGGTCCTGTTGGTGTGAGTGTGGGAGGGCTGCTCTTCCACTTGTCTGCTGTGAAAAAAACATAAGAAAGAGAGATATGAATAGCCTGCTTCTTGCCTTTTGCTATCTATTTCTGGTGTGAATCCCAGTGAGGTTCCAGTATTGATCGAGTAGCAGAAACCAGAGACCTCAAATCAGTCCAACAGTTCACTGCAATGAACATTTGCAGAAGGATGGACAAAGGGGTGTACTATGGGACACACTACAGATTCCACAATGAGATTATTTTTCTTCTCTATTGCAAAAATGGAGGGTAGGTATGAGGGGAAGGGAGATGAATAGAATTTTGAGAACCAATAAAAAGTTTAAAAATATGTTTGCATTTTGATGGCAAGGGTTGTGCATATACTTTTCCCAGGTTTACTTATTTTATCCACAAGAAAACATAACTGTGTTTTTCTCTTACTGTTAACAGTCACTAAAGAAAAAGTCATAGATTGAGCAACTATGTACAGGCACCAGGTTGAGGAGTATCGGCTTTAAATTTTACACCATTAGTCTATCGATATCCTAACTATTATTCTGCTCATCCCTATTGATGGTAGTAGCCTTAAAAGAAACTCTTAAAAGACACTCATCCCGGTGTCTGACATACATAGTGATCAGTAAATTCTAGCTGTATAAGTTACAATAAACAGAATGATGTTATTTGAAAAGTAATAAACAGAAACATTCAAGCAAAATTTATTTTTACCAAAAGTGAAAATTAAAATGTAGACAGATTGTTAATTAATCAATTTAAAAATCTTTAAAAGAATTTATGTATGTGAGTGTATATATATATATATATATATATATATATATAGAGAGAGAGAGAGAGAGAGAGAGAGAAATACATTCAGCTATTCAAGTAACAGTTTTTAGACAACAGTAAATAAAGGAACAAGTCCATTCTTCTGCTTTTCTGCTTTGCCTTCACCCTGCTGGATACCTTGAGAAAACAAGAGAAGACAGATCACTGGACAAATGCCTCAGGACACTAAAGTGAAGGAGTGAGGATAATAAGAATGAAAGAGAGGACAGTTCAGAATCAGGATGTGCTTTTGAGGTCATCTGCATATTGAGGAAGGGTGTATAAAGTATCCTTCCTCCCCAAAGAGCCATGTATTAAAAGCTTAGCTTCCCAGTGAAGGAAGTTCATAGAAGAGGATTTTGTAAAATGGTTGGATCATGGAGGTTCTAATGTAGAAATCTACTAGTAAATACTGACTTTAAATGGATAATTGGAACCCAGTGCAACCACAGAGTTGTGGTCTTGTAGGAAGTGGTTCACTGCAGGCATGCACTAGAGAGATGTTCTTGTCCCTGGGTGTCCATTGTTGATTCCAGGTTGTTAATGAGCAAGGCTGCTTTCTCACACATTCCTAGCATGAGAGCATGCCTAGACAAGCCAGACAGGAACTGATACCTCAGAAACTGAAAACCAAATACAAAATAATCTTTCTTCTCTTAAGCAATTGATGTTAGGCATTTGGTCTAAGCAATAACAACTTGACTCACCTATGTTAATCCTCTGAACCTCTGAGTAGTGTGAGGATGCTTTGACAAAATCAGACACAATCAGGGTAGTGTTGCAGTGAACTCAAGATGCTTTCTGAAACAATGCATGTGAGTGAGGAAAGGCTGGAAAGGTTCCCAATGACTCCGTTTCCTCAGGACTGGTGGAAGCTCCTGGTTTCACACAGCATGTTGTTGCTTGTGTCCACGCCACATTGATCCTCAGTGTGTAGAAGATCTGGATGGGGAATGTGGAAATCAGTCATCAACAGCATGGAATAATCATGTGGTCACACTCAGCTCTGGCTGCAGAAGGCAAACATTTGATTGCCTATGCACCAGACAAGGTACACATTGTGAGATTAGCTGAGCCAGCCACATCTGAGAGAGATTGCAAATAGAGGGCAAACTGTGGCCTTCTAGGAAGGAAAAATATCGTTATAATGAGGATGAAGAAAGAATAAAACATACAGCCTTTCTCCACAGCATCATGAACTTGAGCTGGTACGAAAAGACTTCAAGAGAAAAAGAGTTTTAGAGCTTCTGACAATGCTGACAAAAGAGAAGCAGCTTCCAAGTGAGATGGGCATGAGAGACCTTTTACATTAAGCAGTGAAAGAGTGAACCTTAGTGAAGAATTGCTGACAGGTCAGGTGCACTAATTGTAGAAAGGCTCCCTCTGGTAATGAAAACTCAGAAACTGCTGAATGAAATGTGAAGGGGAGACCCTAAGTGAAAAGTGGGCTGTGGACTCGTTCTTTCGTTCATTTGCTTCTTGTACTGAAGATAAAAGAGGTCTTGTGTAAGTGATCCCGTACATCAGGCCCTTGATGTACACCATTCATATCAAGGTAGCACAGGAGGCAAAAGAGGTACAACAGGTCTGACTTTGTTTGACAGAACTGAATTCCCGGCACAAGCAGATTGTGAATACAGACCTGCAGGCCCACGGAGACCTTCCCCACCACTGTATCATGTTAACCCCTTTGGAGAAGAGAACAAGTTGATAGTTGGGCCTCAGCTACAGCACTGTTGAGGGTGAGGATAGTAATTTGCCCATCTTTAATGTAGTATAGATTCATCATGCTAGTTGCAATGTGCAATGTATTGGTGAATTGTCTCTTGCTGTCTGTGCTAGTTGAGAGAAGATTTTGAGAAAAAGAAAACATGTTTACTTTAAACATCCCCAGAGACTCCTTGTGCTGGGCTGGGCTTGAACCCTAGCCTTGTACTAAGGCTGAAGGAAAATAGTAAACAACTAAGGCTGTTGAATCAGCTGGGAAAAAAATTTACAGTAGATATTACTATTTTTTTCATTTATGGCATAAAAATGTTTCCAGTAGGGACAAGAAACCAAAAGCTCATCCTTCCATGGAGAGTTTCAATATGGAACTTCAGACTCGTACCAACTTCCTACTTTTATTTGCCAATGTTGTAACCATCCAACTTGATGACACTGCCCCTATTTGGACTGCTTTCTCAATGTGATCCGAGTGCCTGATTTTGAAAAGGTTTTATGTCTACCTGCTATGTTATTTTTTTTAAATTTAATTGCTCTATACTTAGTAAACTAGCATCACAGCTACTATAGATCATTCCACATAAGGAGCACAAGTAAAAATACCGACGCAGATCTGAGTCACTGTGCACCGCTTGTGATGAGGAGCGGTTGGTAAGAGGAAGGCTGCAAAGAAGACAGAAGGCTAATTAGGGAGAGTAGACAGAAGATCAAAGCAAGAGCCCGCTAGACCGACTGAATCCAGGCGGGTGGCTCTGTCAGGTTGAGGGGCCCAGTGGAAAACTGTATTTAAGTAACAGTGTTTTGCTTTGTTTCTCTGCTCCTGCTGTGAAAATAAACCAATGCCCTGTAGCTATGAGGATTTTAGTGGTGATCGGAGTAAAAGTTATCTCCTCAAATATGTTTTCTTGAAAGGACAAAAAAATGCATAAACAAGTACTTAAATAAAATGGTGATAAGGACCAGAAGGTAACATGCAATGGATCATAATATGTGGCGCTGTATTCGTTTCTGGATTACAGGGCTGAGAATTAGCTCCTGGGTAAAAAATAAATTAATAAAAAAATAGTGATTTATTTCAGAAAACTCAAAGTCCAGTCACAGCTATGTCTTGGGTTAACTTTATGACTGCAGTAATCTATTTTTTCTCACCACCTTGCCTTTCTACCAGAGGACAATGAAGAGGCCCCATCACATTTCAGGTTTCTTTTATTAGGACTGCAGTCACCTAGGTTGGTGATGTGTTTATTTTGAACTGTGAGGACCCAAGCGTGATCTCCAGAAGGCACCAATAACTTATATGGTGGTGCACTCTTGAAAATTAGTGATGATGAGAGGGAGAGATGAGAGGGACCAAAGAGTTCCATGGATGCCAGCTAGCTTGCTTGTCAGGTAGCAGGATAAAGAAAGACTGTCTCAAAGGAGTTAAATTCTAGACCTGGAGAAGGCCTTATTTGACCTCCGGTCACAACATTTGCACATTTTCTTCCATACTGTCCAGCTATGCGAATATACATGCATGCATCTATTTACACACACAGAGAGAGAAAGAGA